TAGCACATCTATGCAGGTATGTAGTTATATGTCTGCATGTTACTTTCCAGCCAGCACACCTATGCAGGTATGTAGTTATATGCCTGCATGTTACTTTCTTCAGCCAGCACACCTATGCAGGTATATGTGTAGTTATTATATACACTTATGCTGAAACTAGTGATATATTTAGCGAGTAGAACATCGTGAAATGTCGACGAAAGTTTGAAAGATACGATACCTACATCTTTACATCATATAAACAGGAGTGAATAATAATAGATCTATTATTATGCTCTCCTGATATAAACAATAATGTATCGATGCCAATTAGTAACGTTGTTGTGTTTGATTGCCAGGTTGTAGAATTGCTCAATGACCTCTACACTGCGTTTGACTCAATTCTCGGCCACTACATGGTGTACAAAGTGGAAACCATAGGTACGCACGACTCTACATCACTCATACATTTAATCAAGAGCTAATAATACCTCAGTAATAGTAATAATAATAATAATAATGTATTATTTGCTCTTGATTTAATGACACGTGTCATGAAGCGTAAAGTTCAAAGTTTCGAGCGCAGATACTGATGTAAACTGACTACGCGGTAATGCCGTCTGCCTCCATTACTTACGGACATCCGCGACTGCAGTTTATATGTTATCCTGCCGCGTAATAATCTGTTTTCTCTCTCATCTGACATTTCTGGCGAATAAACGAACAGCGTGTGAGTAATGCGGCCGGCTGTAATTACGAATGGCTTTTATCTATTTCGTTCCGCAATGCACGAGGAAATGTAACGTTATACTTCGCTTCACATACATATATATTTTATAATATATATATTAATATATATATTATATATATTGGAATTGCGCTGCTAGCTATCAGCCCTCAGTAAGTAGGAGCAGTCACGATCTGATGACGTCACATAGCCCAACAGCCTCAGTTACGTATCCCCGCGCGCTGCCATCTTCGCTTATACCCGAGATGTGTTTTTAATCGAGTGTTTTTTCTGCATAGGTCAGCGGTAACCTGTACTAATATGTATACTCAATATATAATCATGTTGCGTGTCGTTATCTGACACTGATGTGCGTGCAGGAGATGGTGGGTGGTGTAGTGTGAGACACGCGTGCTATATATGCTGACGCCACCGTATCGCGCCGTCGCTCGTCTATATTTATGAGCGTTTAAGATGTTGTTCTTATGGTTCACGTCGGTTGTCGCGTTTTTTGCCCTAGGACGAGTCTTCTTCGGTTATTTTCTCCGTACGGGTGGGTTTACGGTTAGGCTGGTTGGTTCTTTGGTGAATGGGTGGTGCATGCAATGGGTGGATGAATGGCATGAGATGATGATGGCTGGTGGATGGATGATGCATGACGGACAATGCGACGGACGGATGATGGATGGATGATGGATGGTGGATGGATGTGGATGGGATGGATGGTATGGATGGATGGAATGGATGGATGATGGATGATGGATGGAGGAGACGGACGGACGGGACGACGGAACGGACGCGACGGACGGACGACCGACGACGGACGGGACGGACGGACGGACGGGACGGAACGGCGGACAGACCAATGGACGGACAGACCGACGGACGGACGGACGGACCGACGGACAGACAGGTGGTCGGGCGGACAGATGAGTATTTGAGGTTCGAAATGTCGGGTTTGGCGAATTGAAAATGAGCAAAATGCTTTAAAATTGTTTCCCGGGCAGCGACCGGGCAATGACCGGCAGTGACAATTTTCAGGTTTCCGCTGTATAAAATGAGGATCTCGGAATAAAGTAGGTTTCCATATTTAACTGTTTCGCACGATTGTTTGCGGCGGTTCGCCTACTATAAATAAATAAATAAATAAAATTATATATATATATATATATATATATGATAGGCTATACATCTATCACCCCGGGACAAACTTCGAGCACTAAAAGAGCTACCCCCCTAAGCTACTAAGAGCTACTAAGAGAGCCCCTGACTATGGAAGAGCTTATCGCACCTAGCTTGTTAGGTGATATATTACACGGTCGCACTGCACTATTAGGTGACACATGCAGTGGTACAGCAAATTTACTCGGTCTCCGATTTCCACTCGTTAGACGTGTTAATTAGCAAAGTAATTGTGTCTCCCGTGGTACACGACGTGTTATTAGTGACGTATCTTGGCTGGATTGCTGACGTAATGGTTCACACCTGGTCACCCTGGCGACGCGAGTGATCGAGTCTTACACGTTACGAAACTCTGTTCACCTTCTCAGCAACAAGACTGAGGGGTCTGAAGTGCGAATACAACATTGCTTGCTGTGCAGCACAATTTGCCGGGGCTACTAGGATACAGAAAATCAAAAATAACATACATTTGTGTCTCTCGATCTCTCTGTCTGTGCGCGTTCTTGGTCGCTCTCACGCCACCTCACGCTGCTTGTATCAGCTCCTGTTTGTTGTCGTTGCCTAGGTGACGCGTACATGGTTGTCAGTGGCCTCCCGATACGTAACGGCGACAACCACGCCGGCGAGATAGCGTCGATGGCGCTGCACCTGCTACGGAGGATCCGTACGTTCAAGATACGGCACCGGCCAAACGACACGATGAAGCTTCGAATCGGCATACATTCAGGTCAGCCACCCCCTATCCCCGCATCTCTCTCGCGCTTGCACCACTAACTAGATTGTGGGTGTCTCGCCCGCAGCGAGCTAACAATGTTATATCCCGGTATGATCATGTAGATCTCACGTACCGCAGTGCGTGCGAGGATGAGAGATGCTGATTTACATTGACAACGCGACCGTTCATTTGGGTAGCGTTGTAACTAGATGTAACTTGATATTGGGAGCAATTTATTACAGCTTATACTAGTAATGCTGTTAACGGAGACGGGATAGTATCTGTGAGCCGGCAGTGGCAATGATGACCGCAGTCATCGGCAGGGTTTTGTTTCCGAGCGAAGGTTTTGGATCAGATGGCTGCGGTAACAGGCACTTGGGACAGAGTCAGTAAAAACTAATAGTATGATAATAATATGAACGCACATTCACAAATACTACCCTTCAGTTACACTTCCACTGTTTTGTCACTGTATATAAACTTGCTTTCAGAAAAACCAATGCAGAACTAGCCGCTCCCGCACTCGCCGCTGCGAGTGTGCTGCGTCGCCATTATAATGATGATATATATAGATATTCTATATATATATATATATCTTCTATATATATATATCTTCTATATATATATCATCATTATAATGGCGACACAGCATGCACACTCGCAGCGGCGAGTGCGGGAGCGGCTAGTTCTGCATTAGTTTTTGTGAATGCAGGTTTATAGGCCTATACAGTGACACATCAGTGGAGGTGTAATTGAGGGGTCGTATTTGTGAATGTGCGTTCATATTATTTTCAGTTTTTACTGACTCTGTCCCAATTGCCTGTGGTTGCGGTAGCAGCAGCTAACGTGTGAATTTCTGTGTGTGTCCACGCTAGGTCCGTGCGTTGCTGGTGTCGTCGGTCACAAAATGCCACGCTACTGTCTGTTCGGCGACACAGTCAACACGTCGTCCCGAATGGAGTCCAACGGTGAAGGTACGCTGCTAGATATCTCTATACGTGACGGAGGTCCGGCCCAGGGTTGGCCGTAATAGTCATCGGTCATCGGTGCTGCTCCCAGCGTGACGTGAACCATGTACAAACTGAACATATATATATTATCACATTATTACATATATTATATATATTATTACATATATTATTATATATATATATTATTACATGTATTATTATATATATATTATTACATATATTATATTATATATATTATTACATATATTATTATATATATATATATTATTACATATATTATACGTATTTTCACACGAGTTTTCTCCGGAAAGAATTTGTTTGTTATCGTGGCCATGATTTCGATTAATTTAATACGGATTTTTATGTTGCAGCGCTCAAAATACACATCAGCGAGAACACGAAATTACTACTCGATAAAATAGGAGGCTATTATATTAAAGAGCGAGGTTTGGTTAATATGAAGGTGAGAGCACTAGGTGTGTTTCGTATAGATTTACCCTTACGCGTGCGCCAATGTCAGGGGCGGATTCAGACCGTATTTGCCGTATTGGGAAATACGGTCTAGATTTCAAAGTGCCCTTCGAAATTTTGCGCTAAAAAATACAGAAAACAATTTGATGGAATTTGGCTATATTCTTTATTTCGTTTCTTCTGATTCATTGACAGGACTTGAAGGAAATCAAAATTTTAAATGGTAACAAAAATAACTTTGATATCTGAAAAAGAAGGGAAGTGCTTGAACTTCCACGGAGTGGCTGTTGGCCTCTAGTATATATATATATATCAGGAGTAGATAATAGGGATTCCCTATTATCTAATAATGGGGGTTATCTAGATAATGATCTAGATAATGATCTAGATAGTGAATTATCTAGAATTATCTAGAATTATTCTAGAATTATTCTAGAATTATTCTAGAATTATTCTAGAATTAGAATTATCTAGAATTATCTAGATAATGATCTAGATAATCTAGATAATATCTAGATAATGGGGGTTCCCTATTATCTACTCCTGATATATATATATAAGTACAATACTAGTGTGATTGTGTGTGTGTGTGTGTGTGCGTGTGTGTGTGCGTGTGCGTGTGCGTGTGCGTGTGCGTGTGCGTGTGCGTGTGCGTGTGCGTGTGCGTGCGCGTGCGCGTGCGCGTGTGCGTGTGTATTATACTTATACTTATATACTATAATAATAATAATACTAATAATAATAATACTAATAATAATAATGCTGCTGTTTCGTCGTCTCTGTGAGCAGGGTAAGGGAGAGATGCGTACATACTGGCTGCTAGCCGAGGACCGATCGCGGCGCGTCTCGCGCCAACACCAGCAGGGCTACTGCAACTTCCCGCAGCAGACGTCACTAGAGGGTGACGGCGTCGGCCTCAACCGACAGTCGAGCGTATCTAGCATCGATTCCGAGACGGGCTTGCTGGACGACGACCACGAGCTGGAGAAGCTGGTGGAGGAGGGCGTGGTCGAGGCGGGGGTCGGCTTGCCGTGCCGGCCCCCCACCGACCCGGCGATGATCAAGATCAAATACAAGAACGTGAAGAGCCAGGTCGACGAGGCGGCTCGAGAACAACGTCATGGTGCCCGGTCCGCTGAAAGAAGAACGCAAGGACTCCAGTCTCGAGAGAAAGTTACTCGGCAGGGATTTGTTAATCGACTGCGCGGCTATCGAATCGACGAATCGGGCGGACAGGCTGCCGCCAGCTTTTGCAACACCCAAGCTGTCGTCAACGCCGTCGACGTCGCCGGTCGCTCCGATCAGAGGACAACGGCAGCGGCGGTGTGGGTGAAGCAGACACGCGAAGAACAGTGTCACAGTTCAAATTCAACTCGAGTGCCGGACCCCGAAACGAACGAGGAGTTCGTCGTGTGATGAAAGGATCATCGCTGTGACGTCAGTTGTTTGCCGTAGGNCTCTATCGCTGTGGGGTGGTGTGTGGGGTGATGTGGTGGTCGTGGTGGTGGTCGTGGTGGTCGTCGTCGTCGTGTTCGTCGTCGTGGTGGGCGTCGTCGTCGTGGTCGTCGTTGCCGTCGTGGTCGTCGTGGTGGTGGTCGTCGTCGTGGTGGTGGTGGTCGTCGTCGTGGTGGTCGTGGTGGTCGTCGTCGTCGTCGTGGTGGTCGTGGTGGTGGTGGTCGTGGTAGTGGTGGTCGTCGTCGTGGTGGTCGTGGTGGTCGTCGTCGTCGTCGTGGTGGT